AAGGCTCCCCAATACGATCCCCTTCTCCGACCACCACCCTCACCATCATGGCTGTTTCTGTATTCTCTGGTTCTAACCAAAAGACCAGTCGACACAGTCCCAACTCAGCACACTCAGTACCTCCAACCTCCTCCAAAACAGCCATCGAGTGGAGGGAGGCGTGGCAAATTGGTGGCATCATGGGGCGGCACATCTACCAATTATTCCAAATTTTCCTACTTTCGTAAAATCGTTGAAATTTCCGTCCACGGTCAACCTTTGACAAACCTTCAACAACTTCTTTCCACTATGATGCTTAGCTGTAAAATGTGACCACCCTCCTCCTCCCACCCCACTCCTCCTTTCCGCCTTTCCGAAATCACAAATGCGACCCCACGTTCAACGAATAGTGCGAACAAACGGTTGACCATGGTCTCAGGCCATCTTGCGAGGACTTGAACTGCATATTTTGCTCAACAATTCCAATAATGAGGTGGTCTGGATCAGGTTCCAACCCTAACAGAACCTATTTCTTGCTCTATGTGCCGAGTTTTCTGCCAAAGATTTCCTCTTCGTTGTTCTATGACAGAAATTTTCAAAGTTTTATTGTTTTTATTGAGTACAGCGACAGATATCATTCTGTTTGCTCATGGCAAATATCAGCAAATTCAGGAGCTCTCAACACGCTTTGATCATCTTCTTCAGAATAGGATATCGGGGAACAATGGGATAAAGTCGAGATGAGTCGTACTTATCATGTAGATCCTGAAAAATGCGAAATATCTTCCAAATATTGGAACTCAAGTTTACTCTGGCAAGGATGTCTTGCTGGCATATGTGTGAACTTGATGTGCGTTCGGTGAGCAACAGCGGCAGCGCTGATGCCCTCCTTGTGGTTTACTAGGTAAAAGTGCGGTGGGGCTCGTGTTTTGGTTACTGTGCTGTGATAATGGTGACAAGTGGTTGCCGTATCCGAGACTTTCAAAGAGGATGCGACGGTAGAATTGGGGGTGTTGTGTGGCAGTGGAGGGGAGATGGGGATTTCGGAACGATTTACGATGATTCAGTGGCCAGTTTCTGGGAAATAAGCTTGAAAAAGAAAAGTTCTTTAATATTCGCTGTTTTCTCAGACATGTTAGGGTCTAGGGTGTAGTGGAGGGGACAAGGGAGTGAGCTGGTGCTACATTTCACACCGCTACAGTATTAAAATCCCTAAGGCTGATGTCAGAGTCCGCGATCCTTTGCGCGATTTTCGCGATTTGCGCGATTTTCGCGAAACCTGCGATGGATCACAGGAGTTGGAAGTGCCCGATGAATACTGCGAGGTGTTGTTTAATCCTGCTGCGAATTCTGCTTGGCAGTAAAGATTGGAAGACGAATGTTTGTGGTTCTACTTGTTTCATGTTCAATGTCTATTAGTTCATTGAAATGCTCTTGAATCGTTCCTATTTTTTTCAGGAATCAAACCAAACCAATCACAAAAATTGCAAGTGCCCCATTTGAACAATTGAAACACTGGATATGAAACAAGTGGAATCATGAGCAGTCTCCATTAAACCATAACCATCAAGCAGAAGTGACGGCGGGATTGGAGAACACCTTGCAGTATGGATGGGGCACTTGTGATTTCCGTGACCCGTCGCGCAAATCGCGAAAATCGCGCAAAGGATCGCGGACTCTGGCACCAGCCTAAGAGAGGCAAGGGAGTGAAGCCGGTGTGGGTATAAAAGCGGAATGAGTTACGCGTCCCGCGATTATTCCGCTTACAAATGCAGTGCGATTAATTGAACTCACTCATTGGCGAAAAATCGCACCACTGCCTCCCTCCGCTTACTGGAATAGGCCCGATTTCTGTTTCATCCATCAACCTTGCCACTAAGTAGTATGCCGAAACCTAACTCAAAGGCCCTCAAAGAAGTACTGTTGTAGCTTTCGTCAGTTTTCCTTTCCGCTTCAAAACAATTTCCAGGAACTTGATTTTGTTCTGTCGCTTTTTTTATGCTACTTGCAATTATTGCAATTACTCTCTTTGAGCGCTACATCAGCTTTGGAATTTCCTACGTAGAGTCTTATCTCATTCGCTTAGCCTCGTTCTTTAGTTTAACTCTCACCTTGATGATTTTCCTTAATCCCTGGTACTTCCGTATTAACTTATAGAGTTGCACGTACAGATTTTCGCAGTCTTTTTGTAACTCTTCCGTTTTCCGGCCTTAAACATCGATTTGCAAAACGAACTTCAAGCAGAAGAAAATAAAATAGCGTCATACTTTTTATAGAGTCGTAAAGACTTTGATCAACTCGGGTTTCCATGGTCCGCCCCATCATTGTTGAACTAAGCAACGCTCCAATTCCTCCGGACGGAGGAGGACATGGTGACGTCTCCTCAAGAAGGTGTATAATTCTAAATGAAATCCTATAGGTTTCTTGAGGTTCTGCGGCAATCGATACACTCTACCCTGTAAGGAAATCTGCGAGAGAACTGATCTTTGACGAAGGTGTCACTCTCAGAAAGCCATGAGAGAAAATAAATATTAGGTTGTCCCGAAATTAATGCCGGTTTCAATGTCTCATACTTTATTTGATATTTTTCCGAGAAATTTCCATACGATTGCTGTACTATATCGTTGGAAAGCCCATTTCATTCTCTTTCTTGCACGGCCATTGTATTTTGATGGGACTCGGGCCTCACTTTTTTTTAAAGGTTTGAAGTGAAGGCGTCAAAGTAGTGGTTTGAGCAGGTTCACTTCTATGAGTTGAAATTTGGAGAGGGTGCTGTGCGGACAGCTCGGAATAGGATTGCTGTGTGGGGCTAAGGATGTTGCAATAAAAGCACACTGCTTCGATGGCTCCGAAGCTTTCAAGTTAGGGAAATCTAGATTCGAAGTGAGGGGGTTACGGACGACATTCTCCTCTTGACGGCGGCCTTCTGAAGACCCGGCAGAAGAAGATTTCCAAACAAGTGTACGGCAGCCAGCAGCATAACCTTGAGCAAGCATACTGAAATTTTCGGAGCGCCTGAAGGTACTTGGGAAGGTAAGAAAGCTGGACAAGTGGGTACCGCATGAACTGACTGAGCAGCAGCAAAGTCACCTTGCAGGGATCTTGGCACAACTTTTTTTACTCAACAAAAATGTCCGACTCTGGAACTTTTCGTCATCCTCGACGGAAATAGGACCCTTCGCTATAGAATAGAGCAATTTTCCAAAAATCTAAACAACTACGAACATCAAAAACTTTTTCCAAAGTAGAATTTCTACAAGGTGAGGACCATGCTGATGGTTTCGTGGCCTTCCGGAGTAATGATGCATCGCAGCTTTCTGAACCCAGGTGATTTTGGTAGAGCATCAATGTCTGTCCATAACATCGATATAATGCTCCGTAAAGAGCAAGGCCTCTAACCAGAAGAAGGAAAAGAACTGTTCTCCATGTTGACGCCCAGCCACATGTCGCACAAAGGTCTTCGTAAGAAAGGGATAAATCAACCTATCCAGCTTTGCTTCTTACAGTGCATTCGCAGGATCTCACCCTCACTAAGCTTGGTTTAATTAACGAACTTGAAATACAGGAACAATTGAAGCTCAAATATCGGCCAAGGTCTTTCCCATCATGTCTCGGTTTTCAAATCTTTTTCTCCCCATGAAGCTGTCGAGATTGCCGGAAAACAGCGATTCCTGTTAAGAAAAATGACTAGTTTCCAACACTTTTTTGAATTACTGAAAATGTTGAGTTTGAGCTGAGATATGTTGCTTTGAAGACGGAGGTCAAAAACCGGCATTAATTTCCGGACAAACTAATATGAAGCTACCTTCTGAGAAAATCTTGACAGAAAAAAAGAGACAGGAACATGAAAGAAAAGCTCGTCCATATTCCTGCCCTAGGGAAGAGATATGGAGGAAGCTGCTCCAATCAAGAAAGAAAAATAATTATAAATGAAATAATTAAAATGGTTCGTTTAAAGAGACAGTGGAAATCATTCACTCATTCCATGCTTAGGTCTTGGTAAGGTTTTGGCAACCGTGGAGGCTGATCTAATCTAATTTAGTGGATTTTGTCGTACTCGGGAATTTCTGGAGAAGTGACTACCTTTTTGTGTTCAATAAAATAAATCGATGATAAAACCCATGGCATGAAGCCACGATAGCAAAGTTTCCCTTGCGAATCTGCAGTTTTCGCCATGCCAAAAACTTCGTGTATTTTCTTTCAATGTTTGCAAATATTCAATGGCTTTTGTCCTTCATACCTCACAACGTATTCATTCGAATCCTCGGCGCCTTCCTGATTTGGCAAGTCAAGTAGCTTCCAATACTGTTTTTCCATAATTACAACCTAAATATTCAACGTTCGAATGAAATTTTTCGATTTTCTGCCACGTCTTGCGATTATAAAAATGCTGGTCAAGTAAATGATGGTCTTCAAAAAGATAGTTCGGTGGAGGCAACGCCCCGAGCGCAGACTGGACAGCTTTGCTTAAGGAGTCTTAGATTAGTTAGCATGCTTCAGGGGTTACCCCCAACGGAGGCGGTCTGCCGTTGTCTCTGCTTGAGTGTATGGATTCCGAGTAAGACCATTGAGTACTGCTGAGAAGAAGATTTTCGAGTACCCGACAGGAGGACCATGCGCAGCAACGAAGGCAGATTCGGCGGACGAGTTGCAGCGCGTACTGTAGTGATTTCAAGTTAATAGAATGTACCATTGTACGTCCTACATCGCACATCACGCGCTGCGACTCGTCCGCTGACTCTGCCTTCTTGCCGCGCGACGGGCCTCCTGTCTTCTACCCAAGATTCTTGGCACAAACTGATCTGGGAAAAAGGAAATTTGCTCCCTGGAAGCTCCAGTTCAGACCACTGCGCAAGTGGTATTTTGCTGTCAAAATTATTTGGGAGGGCATTATGGGCGTTATTGCCGGTACAGTAATTTCTTATGAACCGTAATAATACATAGTTGCCTCGTGATCAAGATTGAAGAGTGAGTCTGGGATATATTGGGTTGTCTCATAATTCCTGTCTCATTTCTATTCAATTTCAAATTTCTTCCGTCTAAGACCGTTTCATTGCGAAATACGTTAGTATGTTGAAGTATGCTTCAAGAGCCTTAACAGCATGGTTTCGGAAACGCAAGCCCGTAACGGGTTAATCAACTAGGAATAAAAATAGGTCAGTGACTATAATGAATGATTATGCTTTACGATCCTCAAATGAACTCTGTAGCAAGGAGGACAACAGAGAAGACCAGCGCTGTGTTTGACCCAGTCTCTGCTACTGATAGGGTACTGAGCTAGTGGTCCAATCGCAACGGCAAAGACGAAACGAGCTATGAACTTCAACCTCATACTGGGCCTGCGGTCATTTTTGATGAGCGCCCCTTGCACCCTAAATTGGGAGTGCCTCCGCACGTTGCTACCAGGGTATTGTAGCAGATACCTGAGCGCAGCCGATGCACCAGCACACGCCATCAGTATGGCAAGGACTGCTGCAGAATGAAGTTTTGATGGAAACCTTATGGTCCGGCCGACCATGAGCGGGAAGCACGCCTGACCATCTGGGGAAAATCCATTCTGGGACGGCAAAAGCAGAGCCTTCCCTAATCGGTCACCAGTGGAAATGAGTCATGAGTCCACTGCGACAACAACATGCCACACGTCTTATGGCTGCCTCGTAGCCGTCAGACGTGTGGCACGTTGTTGTCGCAGGAGTTGCGAACCTACTAACTTGCTATGCGGAGCCGTCCTGGGTCAGCGGCTTGCAATGTTGGCCGGTCATCACCCTTCGACTCCTTCCTTGTTAGGCCATCCCCTCCCCCTAATTTCACGAATGGTAGTTGCCATTTGGATTCCTTCTAATTTCTCTCATAATTATTTGCCTCTATTTATTTATTGCTGTCATATACCTATTGTGAATTCGTTTTTATCATGTACTAATTTGTCAACCTAACCTTGTGTAATAGCTATAAATAAATAAATAGACCTAACTGAAGTTAGGGCTACACCGGAAGATGCGTTGGATTTGACAGAGTGGGGCTTGTAACAATAATTGTGGACCCTGCGATTGGCGGGATTAAGGGAAGGGAGAATAAGGCATGACGTTTCTTAGGAATTATTTATAAAATTCTTCTGCTGTATTCGTTACCCTGTTTAGTATAGGGGAAACCAACTACTTCATATGAAGGATAGTCTGCCGATCTGCGCTCTTACGCTCTTATGCTCTAATTCAGAGTTTGTCCTTCAGGGTGTGAAAAACCTCTATGAGCACACTTTTGAACAGATCACTCAAAGATGGCAACATACACTTAGTGGGGACCGCAACCCAGTTCTTGAGTATAAGAACAGACGTAACAATCTTATACAGAGTCAAGAAACAACAATTAAATTACCTCTCTGACACTTTGCTGTAACCTCACATACCGCATAATTGGGTTCGTGCCCTTCGATTTCAAGTAGTCTTCTTGCAGTTGTTTCAAAGCGTTTTTTAACTTCCTGAAATAAACTTCAGGTAGTGATATGTGAAGGTCGAATATTTATGGAGAAGATGGGTGCTTGACGATTCAATCGTGGCAGTGGCTAGGTCGCCGCGCCAGTCCGCCGCAGCCCGCGATGTCGCGGCGGCGTTGCTAGAACTCAGCATCCAAACATTGGGGAATGTAAGATTAGATGAAGTTTCCAGTCATGAAACATGGAATAGGAACCACCTAACCCTTTAAAATGCAGTTTCTTTTTCGCTCGCCATTATTACATACTTATCATATCATGCTTATGTTAGAGCCTTCCTCACCGTTCCTCTGTGTCTTGATACGTAATATTCTTTCCGATTGAACCAGATTATCACTCTCTGATAGAAATTCAGGAGCTAATTAATAAAGTATCGAATTGAGCTCAAAGGACAACCTTTACATGGCACATGTCTTGTACTGTGAGGCTTAAATAACTGCGGAGATCTTAAAAAAACTTGTTGGCTCACTGATGTCTGGAACTTTGGTCTTATCAGTTCTCTAACCCCACCAGCAACTTATGGACAAGGACCGTTAAGAAGGCCCACACAAAAATCGCCGCACCAAGTGCCGCGCGCGACGCTACCCGCCGCGTGAGCGGCGTGACCTCATTGGCCGATGTCAGACTTTGCGATTGGAGCGATTTTGCACCAATTGCAGGAGCGACGGATCGCTTGAGCGATGCGAGCGACGGGAGATTTACGACTGATGGCGCCGAATTATCGGTGGTCGGCGGTGTAAATCTCCCGTCGCTCGCATCGCTCAAGCGATCCGTCGCTCCTGCAATTGGTGCAAAATCGCTCCAATCGCAAAGTCTGACATCGGCCATTGGACGACGATTGAACTGACCGTCTCCCGGAGAAGATGACTCATTCAATTCTTCATGCATGTACATTGAACATTGTGGGTCGGAAAAAAAGACTACGGGTGCTAAGTAGGTTGGGGGGGGGGACCACGCAGCGGCGCGGCGCTCTGCTCGTCTGCTCCTCCAAGGCTTACTCCGCCGATGGCGCGTATTTAGAAACTTCCACGCGGCAACGAGTCCCACTTAGCACCAGACTACGTTCTCAACCGGTACACTATTTTCGTGTTTCACAGCGGTCACTGATCTCCCTGACTTCAAGCAATTGTAGTGAATCAAACTCATCGTAATGCCAAAATCAGTGCCCTCAAAGCTGATGAATTGCCAAGCGATCAAATCCGCTGCTACAGCACAGGCTCACACAAGGCATCTGGGAAGTTTCACGACCCCTCTCCCTGTCCTGAGGATGTCTCGATGCGACATTTCTCACTCCTTCGTTGGAATCATTTAATAGCTATATTCTTTCCAGCAATCTTCTTTCTTCTTCCTATTTTTTCATAAGTTCTTTCGAATGTGGTCTTTTGCACTGCAGCATGGAAACATGGAAGATTCGTTCTCTTTTCCAAAAACCAAAAGTAGCCTGAAGTTTTTTTTTTCAAGAAACCGCTTCTGTGAAATTTTCTGGAGCTTCCGATTTTTTGAGCAT